CTTCAAAAAGGAAAAAACAAGACAATAAAACCAGCAGTTCTTTAATGCAGCATCAAAACATAGATCACTGAAACTTACGTTGGGTCGAATCAAGAAATTCCCTCTGCAGGTGTTCAAATTGATCTTTTTGCTGAGCACTATGAGGGTTTAACAGTTTTGGCTGGTGGGCTGGATGCTGAGGGTTAAAATTGACCTTGAACTGATTGTTGCCATGGTCACTTGGTCCAGCGGTTAACTTCTGAGGATCAAAACACAGAAAAACTGTTTATTAACGCACATGGAACTAAAAACAAAAACTTCAGGATTTCTCCAGACAAAGGTGGATAACTCACTTGGAAATGGTTTCTGGTGTTGTTGTCGCCTTGGCACTGCGGACTCCTGTAGCCTCCGTCGCCGTTATAATCCAGATTGCTTCTGGTGCCGTCAGGGAACAACCGTGGGTCACACTCTGCAGAATAATCCCCGGTCTCTGCATATTCATCCGAGTCCATGTTTGTTCGATTTTCCTGAGCAAAGTGACGACCCTGGTCCCAGCCGGGAGGCAGACTGTGAGGCAGGTGTCCGTTTGCGTGTCCGTCCTCGTACGCATACCCATCAGGCGAGCCGTGATTGTAGTCGACTTCGTAGGCCTTCAGAGAAACAGTAACAGTGTTACTGATCTGTTTTTCTTTTATTTACTTTGAATATTGGACAGAAATGATCTAGTTAGGGCTGCAACCAACAATTATTTTAGTCATGGATTAATCAGATAGCAAAACTGGCAGATTTTTAATTTGTTCACTTATGTATTTTTCATACAGTATTACAAATACAAGAAAAGAAGCAAATAAATAATTTAGTTCCTTTTTTTATACAACAAAATGAACATTTATTGCCTAAAATGCAATAACAGATTTGCTTCAGCAAACGTTTGATCATTTGTAGCACAGGATGAATCTGCAGCTAAAACAAATACTTCTAACATCAACATGTGAAAAGCTCAGCTCTTTCTTGACTTGACATTATTGACATAATTTGGTAGCAAAAGGTGCTTAATAGCAGATTTTTATTTATAGAATTTGAATCAGGTGAAGCTAAAACTGCGACCTGAGGAGATTTGGGTAGAACACATCTATAAATATCTCCATATTAAATGCAAAATGTTTGTTAACAAGTAATCAATTACTGATTTGACGATTATTTGAATAATTGATTCATCGCGATTAATCGTTTCGGTCGTAGATTTAATACAAACACAAAGTAAGACAACCTGTGTGTGAGAGGTTGGATGCGAATGATCAGACCAATCCTGGTTCCACTTCGTCTGAGGGCTGAGAGAAAACAAAATCACTTTCAACCACTTCTTAAAGTCTCCAGACTGGACTGATGGGTGAACAGAAACACGCGCTACCTGCTGCCGGTGTTTTTATTGCTGTAGGTAGAGCACTCCAGCTCTGGGGAGGAGGAGTCTCTGCTGTCTTCCAGCATGTCATCTGGTAAGTCAGTGAGCAGCTTGTGCAGCTGCAGAGATACGACACATGGAGATTAGTCAGCAAGGTTGCTCAGCAACAAAGTTATAAACTAACACAGTGTAAAGAAATAACACAGAGAGCCGATCAATGACGACGTGAGAAGCAGCAAGGCGAGGCGGCACTTTGTTTGTTTTCTCATAAGTGACAGAAGGTATTTTCTGATCTTCCTAAATGTTTTATGAAGATTCTGAAACTAAACTAAAAAAATTTATTTGTTTTGAAATGATAGTCGTTCAACTAACTAACCAGAGGTTTTCAAATGTGCACATTTTTACTTGAATCAGTAATAAAATGCCTGCCTTATTTATACATTTTTGCACCTTTAAAAAAGCTGAGAAAGTTTTGTGTCAGTAAACAGGCTTTCAGAAACGAGCAGAACCTGCTGGACTTACTTCCCACAAAGATTCCTGAATATTCCTCAGATCCTCGACTCTGTCCACGACCGACGGACCCATATCACCACAATTACACATCTATAAAAAATCCTCCGCTTCCATCTATACCACCAACATATCCTAATACATTTGCGGAGATGACCTCCTGTGTGAAACATTCAAAGTGCGCCCGGCATGTCGTCGGCTTCCTGTGACATCACTGCGTTTCGCTCCCAAAGACCTCCATTGTTCAGAAAAAAAACATATAGCAGGGTTAACTGGAGCAGAAACATTCCAGTTACTGGCAGCAAACGAGTTCCCCTTGACCAGTTGTGTGTAATAAGTAGGTTACTACGAATTGATAAAATAAAATGAACTCGGAGGGAAGAAGTTAGTTTTAAATCTAATCAGCAAGCAGCTCAGCAACATTTCTTCCCTCCTAACTTGAGCTCAAATGGGGTCAAGAGTGGAAACGAATCGACTCAGAGGAAGGAGAAAGTAGGGAGGCTGCAGGGCAGAGCGAGTTTCAGCGGGACACACCTGGAAGGAGGCCTCTCCACCGAGCCAATAATAGCTCAGACACATGGACTAACAGATTGTGGGTGTGAACAGCTAAGTGGAGGTGGGCCTGTCAGAGGGTGGCTGTGATTTGTGACATTCAAACAATGAACACTTTACTGCGTCTACAAACAGCAGAGAACAACCTGGTAGATTTATCATTTACAATCACAATCCAACAGCAGTGGACAGCTCTCCCTGTTAGGCCGGTAGCAATAAATCAATTAATTAATCGCATGATAAATAAAGATGAGCTCAATCATTTCTATTTGCATGATTTATCATTTTTCTCTCTTTACCAAAAACTGGAGGACAAAAGCCTTCGGTCTGGTGTTTTGGCCTAAACTTTCCCTCAAACTTTTTTGAAGGAACATTTTGACTACATAGGTAATTCATTTTTTAATCTGATGTTTTTTCTATTATTTATTTTGTATATTTAAAATGTCTTCCAGTTCCAGTGTTAAATATTACTTATATTAGATTTTATTACTTGAAATGGTCTCAAAACAGCAGTATTATTATTTACTGCAATAACTTCTGGGACAATTCATTGTCCAGCAAAATTTCTTATCATGACAGGCCAACTTTCACTTTCTCTAATTGTTCTTTGCACAATTTTATCTAATTTTTTATCTCAATACACTTCAATTTTATGTACCAGGACAGCCTTCTCACACTGCCAAAATCAAAGGTGTTGATGATACCAGTGTGTTTGACTGGATGACAGCAGACCCAATGATGCAGATTAACTGAAAACCATCATAAAAGCAACCCAGACTTCCTTAACACCTCAGCAGAGCCACATGGTGACTGGACCGGCTGCACAGATGCTTCAACAACATGTGGAGTACATTTACTGTTGCCATGCTTGAGTTACTGACTGATATCTTGAATACCGCTTCAGCATCGTCTTTTCCATACAACACCATCTGTTTTAGAAAGTCTACCAGTCTCTCTTGCCCAAAGCAACGATGTTGCCAACTCCGTACTTCACAGCAGGAACGGTGCTATAAACCTTTATAGTTTCCACCCAATTTCTCCGGATGTAATGGTAGCCATTATGACCAAATAAAAAGTGATCCGACTCAGTTACACATCCCTGGGATCGCAAATCCAATATTTTTATTTCTAATAACTGCAGTATTTTTCTGTTATAGTAGTATATTATTATTATTATTGCTATTATTGTTGTTATTGTTAATCTTGTTTTTAACATGTTAAAAACTTTTTGATATGAACTTTTATACTGATGCTGCTAACTGATCTAAACCTGGAAATGTATAGTCATTTAATGTCATTAAGACAGAATAAAAAAAAACCCAATTAGATGCAGTTATCTTATGTATTTAAATTAGTAGATCCAAATAAATAGCCATGGTAGAAAGAGCCGAATATTAAGCTGAGGAAAATAGGTCCTTTAACACTGTGATATGCTATGTTTTGCACCTCTTGTTCTCTGGCGTAGTCCTCCTGGTCGTATTCATCTTCCTCATGTTGAGTCTGAAGGGCAGCGCTGTCAAAATCAATGGACATGTTGCACTGCCTGTTTGGAAAGAAGAGTAAACAGTCTGGTCAGCTCGGTACGCTGCAGCAGTGTAGTCAGGCGTTAACTTAAAAGATAAGTAAAATGTATGTTAAATTGAATTTTTGTTGTCACAAGCAGATATGCATATTAATAACTTACCAAGTGGAAGGGGTAAAAAACTTGGAAGTTCCTTTTAGTTGCTCATCCAAGATGTTGTAGAGTGTTGAGTGTTGAGCATGCTGCTGTTTACATTATAAAGCAGCGATTTAAAAAAAACTTAGTTGCTTTTTTACATTAACAAAAGCATAAAACCTTTCCACATAGAACGGTATCCGTAGACGCCGATTATTTTTGCTAGTGCAGAGTTTAACAAAACTTTCCGAGCAGTTCTCCGGGGAGTAAACTCTAAAATCAGAAGCTAACAGAAGTTAGCCAGCTAACTAGCTTGTTGAACATACGCGTGACGTCGACTCCCCCTCTTTGAAAACTCGCGCGCATTAGCAGCGCCAAACCCTCGCGGATGTAAACAGGAAAAAAGAAAAATGCTGCCCAAAAACTTTATGCAGTTTCATGAGGAAGCATAAATACTGTTATTTCACTGGTTTAGTCATTAAAATTCCGTCCACTTAGTCGAACAGACACGCCAGAAATGTTTTTGTTCTCTTTCTAATTCCGGGAATAGTCTAGGGTAGCAACGTCTCCATAGTAACAGCTTTACTGGAATTATGGGTAGGGTAGTTCTTGGTATTTTGTACTGATAGTTGGCTCCATACACGCTCCGAGAGCGAATAGTTTTATTTTATCATTCCATGTTTTTTAGATAACATATATTTTATTTTCTTATGATCAGTAGTAAGTAACAAACTCAAATAAATCATAAAACTAAAAATATTTGGCCTAAAATAATCTTGAATTATAGTCTTTATTGGGCTCGCCAAAGTTATAACCTGTATACTAGGAATAATTACTCATTATTCTTTCAGAAATTACTTCAGACTGGACGTTATTAATAAAATAATGCTGAAATGTCCAGTTTGAAGTCGCTTCGCTTTCTACGGTGGCCAGTGTAGGTCATTTCTCTTTCCATTTCCGCGTCTTGGCTCTGCAGCTGTTCCTGAGTCAGCTCCCTAATCAAACAGCAGCTAAATGGAATGAGTAAATGTGGCTTCAGCGTATCGGAGGTCAGCGGTTTCATATCCGGGATTTCTGTGGGACAGTCAGCTGACAGCAGTCAGGCAGCTGTGTGAGTGAGAACTTCGACAAGAAACTGATTAAAAACCAAGTAATCTCTGATCAAGTAAACATGGCATCTAATCCACCCAAACTGAAGATTGAGATAACTTCCAATGAAAGGTGAGAAGCAATGAATGGGACCGATTGTCCGGTGTTGAAATGAGCAATGCATGCTTACCAATTTTGTTATTTTCTTTATGCGCAGGCTGAAAAACTTGAAGGATCATTTTGAAGCAAAGTTTGGAGAATCTCCTCTCTTCTATGCATGTGCACCTGGAAGGGTAAATCTAATAGGTAATTTAATAACTTAAAAGGTCATTTCAGACTTTGACCACCTTAAAGTTTTACTACATGTCAATGTTGTTCCCTTTTTTATATTCAAATTGTTCTGTGTCACTAAATGAGGTTGTCTAAACCCATTAAACCACATTTAACATGTTAAACTGCTGAGGTTTTTCTATACATTATGAAAGTACTAATACGGTACTCCCAGTATTTTTTTATTTGTTGTACATTTAATTTGTTCATTTGATTTTTATTTAACATAACATGTAATGGTACATAACTATGAAGTGGAAAGTCAAAGATATGAGTGAATTTTATTTTACTTTTTACAAAATAAAAATATAAATGTATGACATGTAATAAATACTTTCTAGAACAATTTTTCAATGAAACATTGGATTTATAATGAAATTGAATGAGACAAAGTTGGACTCTGTTTACTAAGTTGATTAAATTGGTTACAATTGTCAAAGCAGTTTTAGTCTGACACAAAAGTAAAAAGTTAAAACCTTGAAGAAATTTAACAAACACCTAAATACTTTGGATAACTAATCAGAGATTTTAGATAGGGGTATTTCTAGTATTATAGAACTCGAATAGCTAAAATATGGAACCTGAAGTGCCAAAACAATTGAATTATTTCAGATTAATTGTAAGTTATTGTTTTTCACCAGGTGAACACATTGACTACTGTGGATACTCAGTCCTGCCGATGGCCATCGAGCAGAACATCCTGGCCGCCGTGTCTGTGAACAACTCCGGAACGATCCAGCTGGCAAACACAAATCCTCAGTACCAGTAAGACGCCAACAATTACTGCATTTTATCTTATATTTTTGCAACTTTAATTAAAGGTTTTCAAAAATATCGGTGCTGCTTTATGTTTTTTAAAAGGCTTTTTGTTTATTTGCAGGGATTTTAAAGTGTCCTGCTCAGAGGACATCGTCATAGACAGAGAAAATCCAAAGTGGTATTATTATTTTCTCTGTGGAGTCAAAGGTATCCAGGTAAAACCGTGGCTAAAATAAATACGATTTAAAGCGTTAACAGTTGAATAAAAAAGGTTATACATCTTCATTTTTCAATGGCTGACATTAAAACAAACTTCTCTTGTTTTAGGTCAGTTAGAATTACCAAAATTATTTCTATTTGCTAAATGACAAAATAATGAGAAAAATTATTTGTAAGATTTATTACTAAAACCAGAATTTTACATACAGAATGCTTGTTATTTCTTTTATGCAATGATCAATGATGCTTTCATGGCTTTGAAAACTACTGGTTAAATGGAGGCGCACTTCTAGATCTATTTTTACCCTGTTTTGTAAAATTCTAAAATTTTGATAATTCTAACTGACCTGAAACAAAAAAAGTTTGATCGGATTTAACTTCAGACAGTGAGAAGAAAATTTATTCCGTAAACTTTCTTTTTTAGCTGTATTGTGTAGTTATTAAATGGAATGGTATTTTATCTTGATCTGATTTTATTTTCTCCAGGAGAAGTTTGGGATCGGTCGTCTAGCTGGAATGTCTTGTGTTGTTGATGGAACCATTCCTCCCAGTTCTGGTCTGTCCAGTTCAAGTGCCTTAGTTTGCTGTTCTGGCCTCTTAACGATGGAGGCGAACCAGAAATCTCTTTCTAAGGTAAAAACATAACAAAAAAAAAACTGGCTTTAGTTTGAAAATGTTCTCAAAACAATAATATTATCATTTATCGTCGCATTAACAACTGGGACAATTTATCATTTTCCAGTGCTTTGTGTTGTTCCTGCCAACAAATTCCCAATAAAATATATTTAAGTTTGTAGTTTAATGCAAAAAAAATAAAAAATCAGAAATCAAAATTTCAAAAGCTATGAATGCTGGGGCAAAGAAGTTCTTAAGTGGGGGGCAAAAACCCAAGAAAATTATCCATCAAATTAAGACAACCCCTTTGTGCGCTTGCCTTTCCATTCCTCAATGTAAGGAAGTATTTTGTGGAGCGTTTATGAGTGTTTATTGCTTCTTTACTCTGTTTTAGTCCTCTGTAATCTGCCCTAAAGGTGGATCTGGCTGAGATATGCACCAAAAGTGAGCGCTACATCGGGACAGAGGGAGGAGGCATGGACCAGTCCATTTCATTCCTGGCAGAGAAAGGAACTGTATGAAGCTGTTTTTTTTCCCCACCACTGCGATGTTTCTACATTCAGATGGTTAATGTTTATTGAAATGACAGAATTTCAACCACTTATCAGGCGAAGCTGATAGAGTTCCAGCCTCTGAGGGCCACCGATGTCCAGCTCCCAGACGGGGCCGTGTTTGTGATCTCCAACTGCTGTGTTGAGATGAACAAAGCTGCTTCTTCTCACTACAACATCCGGGTGGTGGAATGTCGGATTGCAACAAAGGTGCATCTGAAGCTGAAAAAAGCATTGCGACTTATTCTTTCATCCTGAATTTGTAATCTTACAGTATTTTAGGCATTTCCCTGCTTCAGCACACATGGTTTCAGTTGATGTCTGGTCAACAGGCTGAATACTCTGAATGGGGTGTGTGGAAGCAGGGAAAAATCTAAAATATGCATTTTAGATTGGGAAACACTGATCTAATATAGTAACAACCTACCAGGGATGCAAGTTATCGATTAATGAGTTAATCTGAAGTTGATTGCTCTCATCTATCGACTAGCTACTTTAAAAGTGGCTACTCTTGTATCAACTGGACCGACTAACTTTCCATAACATGAACTACATTTTTCAAAAAGAAGCACATTATTATATGTTAACTTTTTGTGTTAGCTTTGCTAAATGCTAACACAAAAGTGTTTTTCTCACATTATTGCACTTAGAAAGCCCTCAAAATAAACCGCGCTTATATTCCTTACGTCAATTGCCATTATTTTTGCAATTTTTCTGAGCTATCGGTTCATAGCAAATCATTAACTATTGGTCGAAAAGCTGACGCTGTTCCGTCATGCAGCTCGACTGAATGACCGCTATTCTTAAGTTGACAACTAAAGAAGCTTGGCAGGTGTTAATATTTCAAAACAGAACTGCTTAAAGCGCAGCTAGCGTTCAACAGCAGACTGTTTTCGACCGTTTTCCTTTCCAGTTACGGCATGGTCGCCGCCATCCTTAATTCTGTAGCAAGGGCTCCGCTTAAGGATGACCAGCGGCGCCCTCTGCTGGATGGCGGCTAAACTGCAACGCTGAAAGAATGTCTAGCGGACATTATTAGTTAATCGAATGAAAAAAAAAAAATCTAATAAATAATTAATAGCTATTTGATTGATTGCTTACATCCCTAGTTTACACAACTTCATGGTATGTTAAATGTTTGGTGCAGATGTTGGCGCAGGCTCGAGGTCTGGATCCAAGCAGGTTGATGAAGCTTTCTCAGGTTCAGACGGAGCTGAAGGCCTCCCTGGAGGAGATGCTGGCCCTGGTGGACGAGGTGCTGCATCCTGAGCCGTACAGTTGTGAGGAGATCTGTAAAGTTCTGGGCATCTCCACCGAGCAGATGTGCACAGAGCTGCTGAGCGCTAACACTCAGCATGGTGGGTAACTGAACACATCTGCACAATCTGGAGTGAAGTCACCCGATTTAGTCAAACATCTTTGGTATAATTGAAGCAACCAGTATCCAGTAATGTTGCTCACAAATCAGCCATTTAGGGCTGCAGTTAGTGATTATTTTAGTAATCAATTATTTTGTCAGTTAATCAAAATGTCTGATTCTGAAGATTTTTCATTGAGAAAATGTGATTAAAATCGGAAATTCAATTCAATATGATATTGCCCAGCCCTATTTTCAATATTAAACAACAATTAAGTTGGGTCACACTTAAAATGACACAATATCACAGTTTGTTCTGTATATTAAAAAAATTGGAAAATTATATTTGACCCCACAAAACTGTGGATTTTTCTAAATCAGACCATTAAAATGATTAATTTTAAGTTGTTTTTTTTGTCTGTTTCTCAGTAACAAACTTCAAGCTTCACCAGCGAGCCAAGCATGTGTACGGTGAAGCTGAACGCGTGATGAGGTTTAAAAGCATTTGCGACGCTGGAGCTGCAGGATCCATAGCGCTGCTGGGAGAGCTGATGAACCAGAGCCATGCGAGCTGCAGAGACCAGTACGAGTGCAGCTGCCCAGAACTGGACCGGCTGGTGGACATCTGTCTGTGAGTACAGCAAGACAAACCAACACAAAAAAAGACATTTTTAAATAAATAAACTGGAATAAAATAAAAATTCATGAATTTGGTAGCAGAAAAATATTTGATTCTATTATAATGTCAATAGATGATTCTAGTAAATGAAGTTCAATTTTTAGGGGTTGTTTTGGATCATAAAACGAAAACTCTGAATCTATTGGACTTCTAAATAAATATATAGAATAATCATATGCTTTTGTTTTTTTCATATCTGATTTATTGCATAGAGATTTGGGGCAACACATATAGATTATTAAAAAAAATTCTGTCTTAAATTTCAAAAGTTTGACATTAACTTTCTGACATCAAAAGTCAGAATTCTCTGGTTAAAATCAGAATTTTGAGGAAAAAAATGCCAGAATTCCTTTCTTTTAGTTTTCTGTCCCTATTGTAGGACACAGCATTAAAAAAACTTTGTCCTTAGTGTCATTTAGGAGTTTGAAGACTTCCTAAAAAATAATCTGTAAACTAAGCAACAAATAAACTCCTTCAGCTGAACTCATGTACCTCTAGTGCCACCTTGTGGTCAAACTTTGAAACTGTGTGTAATCAATAGGTTTTCTTTTTGACTTCATGAACAAAAAAGGCAAACTTTTTATTGTAATTTACTGAGTTACTGTATATCTAGTTCCTTTTACAAAAATCGTAAGTGTGCATTTTTATTTTTACTGCCTTGTGTTTTACAGCTAGCATGATCAATTTGCTCTCTCTCACACACACACACACACACACACACACACAGGTCCAGCTATTGATTTCAGCTTTTACCACTGCAAGCGACTGACTCAGTAAAACCTCTTTCAGTTCAATAAAACAGTATCTCTCTCACATTGATTTTTCATAAAGATTAATGGCGCTGAAAGCTTCGCCGTAGTACCAACTCTTCGTTGTTTCTTCTGGTTGCAGGAAGTCGGGAGCCGTCGGCTCCAGGTTGACCGGAGCGGGCTGGGGAGGCTGTGCCGTTTCCATGGTTACCAGCGAGAAGGCGGCATCTTTCCTCCGAGCTGTCAGAGATGCTTACTACACGCCGGACCCGTGCAGAGCGGCGATGGAGCAACAAAGTCTGTTTGTGACGAAGCCGGCGGGCGGAGCTGCAGTCCTACTGGAGGAGTGAATTATACAACCGATGTTTACTTGTTTATTTTGCAAACAAATCAGCTACAACAAATGCAAACTGTAATTTTTATTTTACATTCAGGAGGTGGAAATTAGGATGCTAATTTTTTTTTTTTTTTTTTTTTTTTTTTTTTTTCCAGATAAGGGCCAAAAAAACACTTTTTTGGTTTTTTTTAAAAAATTATCTGGGGGACCA